ATATATATATATATATATATATATTATATATTATACTTGGGGAGATTATTGTGCGGTTCGATATTTAGAATTTCTATTGCAAATATACGAAAACCCTTGAAAGTATTCAGTTTAATGATTGATCGTGCTTTTTATCCACGGCATTAATTTTAATTATTAAATTTTATATCATTGTTATTAACCGAGCGTTACCATCGCGCCCCGAGAAACAGATTCCGTTCTGCAATAATAACGTTCTCGTAGACCGTAAATTCGTAGAGAAGCGATCGTTTGAGATCGTTTCAGGACAGAGTCTGGACGCGTCTCATACGAATATCATCCGTGAAGTTGAATAAATGTCATTGTTGCATGCGATGTTTGCGGAAGCGCGCGCGATTCTGCTCCATTGCGACTTCCATTGCGATCGCGACACACGCGTTTTACCGAATACACACATTAATCTCTGTCTGTATTGAGATGTCTAATGTTAATTCATAGAGATCCCTTTTATATTACCAGCCTGCAGTAGCCCCGAGTGTCTCTCGTGTTACTCTACTTAAACTGTACAACTAAACGATACTGTGCAAGAGATGTACAAGTCAAATTTGTGAATAACATTTGTACGAACAGAATATGCGCTGTGGTTTTCCAAGCTTTAACGTAAGCAAAAAAAAACACGTGATGACCGATGTTGTTATCGTGTGTTCAACCTCGAATCCGGCATCGTGCGACTCTACCATTAAGTACATAGGAAACCTTTGCCATAAGCAGCAATTGAAGTTAATCGATACTTACGCAACCCCTCTGGTACTCCTTCATACTTGATTGTACACATTTACGTGTGCAGGATCAAGGGTGTGGAGAGCGTTGTTTAAGTCGAACTTCAATTGTGTTTACGAGAAAAGGCCCATAGAAAAGTAAGAGCGGGAATGATAGAATCGACGATGCATCAGAGTCCGTGTAATTGCAAAGCATTTTAAATCTTGACGTGTGCGAAGTGTATATCAGGAAACATAAGATTGGCTGGTAAGTTTCATTGTCCCGTTTAGTCTTAAGCATTGAGTCTACAACATATAGATTTTAGTTTAGCCGAGTAATTATACATATATATATAAAAGACGAAGTGACGTTATATACGCGACATAGACGCGCATTTTTATCGAGCACCGTGGTCGGATAACAAAGGCTACACCTTAGGGTCTCGTCTTATATATTAGAGATAAGGACAAACAAAAATAAAGATACGAAATAGTGAATTTACCGCTGTAAAACGGCCGGTAAGTTTTGTACGATTTAACTTTCGGTTTGGACAAAAAATTTCTTAAGCGATTCTCACGACAAAGTTCTCTTTCTTTCTTCATCATATACACGAGACTATCGTCTCTACTTTAAAATGTAAATGTATCATTAAAAAAAAGAGCGTATATATATACATTTATATATGTATATATATATGTATATCTATTCCTTCCTTTACTACACGATTTTCCACTATGAGATGGTACACGTGGACACGAACACCACGGTGACGATCATTCTGGATTGACTTTTGTAAGAAAATCACTTCGTTTAATAAAATTTAGAAAATTCGTGACATGTTTCCTTTTTGCAAAGCGCAATCGAGCGCACGGTGTAACGAGTGCGCTGCGTGGATTGCGTAACGTTCTTAAAATACTCCCAGAAATGTCAGATATCGCCGTTGATACACGTACGAGGTCATACGGTTTATCCGTCGATCATCGCCGTTTTAACGTGACGAACCTCCGGAAGAGCTTGATCGTTACGAATTATCGAAGTAAGGTCCACTTGACATTGTGTTTGTGATAGCTTCTAGAAGTAATTTCTCTTTTTCAAGAAGACACGTGTATCAATTTTAAAAGATGCACCAGGTCAACAAAACACGGCTATCAGTCTGTCTGCATAGTTTATTTCGCAAAAATTTTAACAAACGTTGTATATAGATATAAAGAGGACTCATAAGCTTAATAATGTTACGGAATACAAGATCTTATTTTATGTGACGTCAATACTTAGATAATCTAAAAGGTGAATACTTTTACACTTACGCTTTTAAATGATCAACCTTTAAAGTAATGGCACAACGAGTAACACTATTGTAATACATGGAACCTGCCATTTTGTACTAATATATGTTCTAATTGACTGCATCATCTGTTCTCACAACGTTAAAGCCGAAGGGAATATTTCGTGTTTCTTCTCTTAACCGAACTTGCAAGACCTGAATTTATACTGACATGTAAATGTGTCTTTGGAATACCGAATATTTTGATAGCACGTTATGCCATATACACAAACTCGAATATTTATATATTCATAAGCGAAGTGTTGAGTTTGCTACGTAATTTGATACGCGATCTACGTGAATACAACTAGTTGCATCACAAACCTATTATCACTTTCTGTATCTTCTATATTGTACTGTATAAGGAATAATGAAGTATGTTGAATTCAATATTGTGCCTACAAGAATGCAATCAATTGCATCTTATATATGTATATATATATAGAGAAAGAAAGAGAGAGAGAAAGAGAGAAAGAGAGAGAGAGAGAGAGAGAGAGAGAGAGAGAGAGAGAGAGAGAGAGAGAGCTGCGACACAGGAAGTCGCAACAGACCATCTCGTCGGCTGCGCGCATCGGAATGTATCGGATCGCGCATCCCGCGGTTAATTGTACTTCGCAGTCTGTCACTTAAGTATTTCACTAAATAACTAGTCTTCTGTAGTCAAATCGTCAGTATCTAACACGGTCAGTTTCAGTCTTCGGGGTACAATTAAGCCGCAAAACCGCTGGCACGGTTCTTAATCATTACCGGTTATCAGACTTCAGAATCTCGAATGATAGTTCGCGCACTATCAAGGATTATGCTGTGATCACAGGTGTAGGCGCAGGTACATATTACACGTAATGTGTAGTCGACGTCCATGTTACTAGTACGAGTAAACCGTAAGTACCACAACGTATACACCGTGATACTCGCGAGATAACCATCGATCTGTAATCTTTAGAGTCTCCGGTATCGCTCGACTTAAATGCTAAGCCGAGCCGCCGGTAGTGTGCCCGTTGCAAGGCTGTTCGGTGATGACGGGCGCAGATGGGGCCGCGTATTGCACGAAGTGCGACGGCGGTGGTCCCACCATGGGATACCAGTGTTCTTGCACATTCGCTGTTGGTGGTGGCGGCAGTTGCTGCTGTTGTTGCTGCTGTTGTATAACGGCAGGGAACTGCATCTGCGGTGGCGCCGGTGGGTATATCATTGATGGGTAACTCGGCGCCGGGGGGTAAGCCTCGCTGTGCTGCGGAAAGAGGTGCGGGTAGGACGGCGGTGGGACAGCCGCAGCGTTCTCGGGCGCGTCGTGATATGGCGGGAAACAGGCGACAGGAAGAAACGCACTGTTCACGTAGTATGAGTTGCAGCAGGCTTCCGCGGCGTCGTTCGGGTAAAATATCACGTTGTTCGGTGGCAGTACGAAAGGCGCGTTCGCCACTTGCTGCTGATGTTGCTGCACCATCGGGTCCGAATGTTGCGGCCGCTGCATGTGAGCGACGATCCTCGCGTCGTTCGCGGCGACGGTCGGGATAGCTGCGCCGTAATGACTCCAGTATTGCGCGTACGCTAGCGCGTCGCGATTGTTCTGCTGGTAACGGGCTCTGTTGCCTGCAAACGGAAACGAAGATTCTTCTGATGCGTTCTAGTCGGGTTACTACTTGTGATTTTTTTTTTTACAACAAAGCCGAGTCGTATTTTCTTCTTCGGGTGACTTTCACCCGAAGAGTAACTAGGAGCCTTAATCATTTCTATCTGTGTTAGCAAGTGGCACTCGACTGACGGCAATTTTCAATCGTTGATTAGCTTAATCAGAATTTGGTGCAAATCACCCTGAGAAGAAAATATGCCGTCAGCTTCGTCGTACAAAAATCACCCTTAGAAAGTTACCCTTAAAAGAAACAGATGAAACGATGCTTGATTATTACCTCTGTTACCTTTATTAGCTATTCCGCCGTGTTTCTTATCCGAAACCTGATACGAGAAGTCCTTGCCACCTAGATTCCTCGGTGTTCCCTGCTTAGAATGCTTCGTGTTTTGCACACCATTTATGTACGGAAACGGAGCTTTGTAAACTATCGGTTCGGCACTGCCGACATCCCTGCCGTTAACATTGCATCCCCCTGTCTCGTTGCACGTTAACGAGCAATTCTGTACGCCGTTAACAAGACTCGTTACTTCATCTCGCATATACGGGACATCTGTTGAAAGTCATAAGATTTTTACTGCAATATCGTACGGCAGTTTATGCAAATTTACTTTCATTGATACGCTACTATTGATGCCACCGTTCGGTGTCGTCCCCTCTGGCGGTGCACCAGAATGATTTGGCCCGAATGGCATAGATCCGTAATTCCAAGTCTGATTCACACGTAAATACTGCAAAAAGTCGGACTTTTTATTAATGCATTTATATTCCCAATAAAATATTTTCTGTCTACTATATACAGGATGTCTTAAGAAGAACACCTAAATATCTTATGGGCATAAATATAGGAATCTTAAAAAAAAAAAAAAACGTAAAAAATGACCATAAAAAAATGTTCCTTCCATGATATTCCTTCTCCTTCGAAATCACTCGAATTGTGTTCTAAACATTTCTCATATTATTAAAAACAAAGGAGATAGTTAGGTTCTTCTTGTTGAGACACCCTGTATATACAGGAAGTAACAAAACAACATTGACAAACTTGGGGATGTATGAGGGATTTTAACATAAACATATATGTGTGTAAACAGATATGTATATACTAAACAAAAAATATATATAAATTTATACACATACCTCCGTACCCGAATTATATGCAAATTTCGGTGGAATAAAATCTAAAAAGAAATATAAAAAAATAATGTTATTCAAAATAAATACAGTTTTTAACGCAATTATATAGTTATACCGATAACCAATACGCGAAAGCTATCGTCTCTTACGGCCGGTCTTTCCGAAAGTGTAATGAGTTTCATTACGAGTCCGGATGGACCTGATATTTGCCGTCTGAGAATTAATGTAACGTAATAACTTACGGTCAGTTTGGTCGAAATCGCCAAAATTTCGTGGCAGAAACGGAAAAACCGGGCATGAGCTACCGTCTGCGAAGACGTAGAATAAATCCGGATTAGCTACTATATTTATTTGCGGGTTAACTGTAATATAACAAAGTGAATATTGTAGACCTCAATCTAGAGTGAGTTTTATACATGTTTAATTATATCAATTTACACATTTATGCTTTTAATTTGTTTCGAAAACGGAGCTGAAGTTTATATTATATAAGTTTATATAAGAGATTCTTTTATATAAAAATTGCAATGAGATTATTTTTTCAATACATGAAGTTACAATCTATAAACATTTTTCATATTCCAATTATTTGTAATTGTAGTGTAATGAATATGTTGCTTAATTCAGTACACTTACTGTTAGGAGGACAATAATTCTCGTCTATCATCTTCGCTTTAGAATACGTATTCTGATAACTATTATCGTAATTATTAGATCCTCCGGATCTTGCAGGCTTGCTTACAAAACCATTATCGACATGGTGCTTCGTAAATGTTGGAGAACTATTCTTACGCTCCTCGCTCACCTCTTGCGCTGCATTAATTGTCTTTAAAGGTTGCGAATTGTCGTAAGCAACCGCCGTAGGCGGATTGTTAGCTATTTCCTGCGAATAAGAAGCACAATAATTCAGGGGAGCGCATCTATGCTTTCTGATATTCAAAAATAATATCAAAATATTCTTACATTTGTCGCATGGTTGACACAGTCTTTTACATCATGATTCTCTGAGGCTTGCTCATGATATACTTTACTGTAAATTCAATTATAATATACAAGTTAAGTTCGTCCTACAAATTGATATATCTAAGTATTTTACTATAAATTATGATCTGCAATGAAAGTACTTTGGCAAAAATATACGTACGAGGATTCATCGTTGTAAACATCAGCTTTGAAGTCGGCTTTGTCAATACTCTTGATATTAATGCTATCAACGCCATTCCTACTCGTATTATGTATTACGGGATTAGTTATATTCATGGCATCTTTTCTCTTTCGTGAGGTTGAATTGTACGTTTTCTTCCACCGCCGTCCTACCGGAATACAAATTAAAAATATTATATTATTTATATTAATTAAAAACGCACGAGAAAGGATTGAAATTCGACGTGACAAAACCTGCATCCGTAGGTATATTTTTCCTATTATGTGGCGTCGAACTGCCTTGCTTGTTCCTCTTTGCGAGGGGAAACGGCTTTAGAGCGGCGTACGGAACAAGACGCATCTCTCCTAATTCTTCGACAAAAACCAGAGCCGGCTCTTCATTTGTACCCATCCCTTGTATATATCCAAAATAAAAGGATTTATCTTGTTTAGTCTTTTGTGGGACATTTTTAGCGTTATTTCCACTGGTACTGGGCTGCGACGAATTATAATTACTTTTAGCTTGATCAATCAAGTAGTTCAGGCTAATCAAACATTTGCCGCCGACTTGAAGCTCGTTGTTGCTATTCCTGTTCCATCCTCCATATTTTACCTCTACGTACGAATAATTTTATTTGTATTGTCTCTTATCGTATCTTACTCTCATCTCTCGAAATATAAAAGTTTCATGTTGCGTAACGAGAAAAACTATATAATGTAGGAACTACATAATATATTTAAAACAGATCATTTAAATAACTTTGTATCGGGAAATATTGAAGAATAATTTAAACGAAAATTGTAATTAGTCAAATAGTAATTAGTTAAATAGTATGTGTTTTAGACGCTCCATTCTATATGCATACCTCGTTTTATTTCATGCCACGTATCGAAATCCGTATTGCGATAAATATCAGGACTAAGCGCTTTCGCGATCTTGTAAGGAATAGGTGGAATTCCTCTCGAGTTGAATTGCACTTCGTCCGCATCGATATGATCACTTTCGACTCTATTGTATAAATCTGCGGTCAATTGTCTGCGGAAATGTGCCTCGTTAGGATTGATTTCGAGGATCTCCGTTGCATCGAATAATTAATTAATCACAAAAGCAGCATACGACAACAAGCTTAAGTAACTTACTCTCTAATCTCAAGATTTCCCTTCTGGAAAAATCTGTCATGTCTAAATGCGATATTTCGATCGTGTAACATTTTATCAGCTGTATGCATTATACCAGCCATATTGAAAACGCACTCGTACAGAGTTCCATAAACGAGAGCTAGAAACAGGAGAATCGCAGTTAATCGCGATGTATTTTCCTTCGCAATAAAATATATGAGATCAGAAGAAATTTACATACACTGACAATAAGCAGCCTTTTTAACATATAATAATGATAGAACAGTCTCGTATTGCTTCGGCGGTGTGTAACACAGCAACAAATTTTGATCGAAGCCACCGTTAGTAACGTTCTCGATCATCTGCTTCTGTCCGTTAAATATAATCACGTCTCTTTTATAAAGTAGGGACATGGCACGAATCTCGTTCATACCTCCCCATTCGGTGAAGCATGCCATTTGTTCCAAATAATGTTCATATGACACAGATATTGACTATAGACAAAAAGGATAAAAAACGAGAAAATAAAGGAAAAACAAGAGAAAAAATGCCAATTTGTTTAACACATAAACAATAGGTCTGTTCTTTTTCAAAGAACTTCCTAAACTGTTATACACTGATGCAGTAAGTTAGAATACAACAATTAATGATCCAAAAAAGAACAAACCTAATGTGTAATATAAATAATAAAAATCCTTACTTCCTCGAACAAATGTCTCATTTCCTTCATAAATGCTACGCATTCTTTCCTGACTCTTATATGATAATATTGCGTATGATATACTTGTTCGCTGACTGCCCGAAATAAGCAAGTTGGATCTTTGGGAGTGTCCTTTCTGTAATAACCCTTCTCTTCCAGCCAAAGATCCACTCCAGTATGCTCCTGCATCCGTTTCGACATTCTTCTAGTTGATACATCCGGATGATATCTGGTGGCTGATATCTGGTCATTTGCATGTGCCGTCGACTCAAAGCTTTTTGGACAAATCATTGAATCAGAAGAAATTTATGGAAATGAATGATATGATATCCTATGACTGAGGTAATTAACTCAGCATAGAACCTAGTCAGAAGTTTGATGTCTTTTTAAAAAATGTTTTTTAACCCTTTCAGTACATTTGACGAGTGAGACTCATCATCTGCTTACTTGGACATAAAATGTATTACTTTTATATATTAATCCATATAGCGACAAATTAAATCTGTCCTATGGACATAAAAATCTTAAAATAATTCAAATATATACATACTCAAAGGGTTAATTGTCCAATGCTATTATATCTAACGCTGATATACCAAAACCATTGTAAATTAACAAATTTTTCAAATTATAACTTTATAAATCTTTAGTCATTTGTCAATTTGCACTTATTTAATAAGAAATATTGATTTAAATAAAACATAACAATGTTCTATAAATGAAAATTAATTTCTTTCTCAATCAAAGATCGCAAATATTTTACGACTATGAATATCACCTAAGAGACTATTCGTAAAATCACTATATGCGTTATCTTATCATACAATTTGCGCAAGTTAACTTTAGATTCTCGCTACGTAAGTCATTTCGTTAGTGTACATTACAAAAGGCAAAAAATTGCGACTATCACCGAGAGATGGATGGATAATCGGATATAAACATTTCGAACGGTGGTGCTAAGGATTAATCGTCAACACGGTTTTTCATTGTTTCCGACACCGGTTCCGAGTTCTCGCATATAAACTCAAGCTCTAATCTGAGAGATAACATTGCCGAGAAGGTTTCAGGATCGGAGAAAAAATTGGACTTTGCGAGATGCAAGATTAACAAGATCACAATTCTCGTCAGAATCAAGGTTGGAGAGTCGCGGTTACGTGAAATCCGAGATCGCTCTTCGTTCGGGGAATCAACGGGATGATCAAACATCGCGACCGCCGACATCCAATGTCGGCAGGCGTGAAGGAAGGTCGCACACGACGAAGTTGAAGGAAAACTCGCGCGAGAACATCTCTTACCTCTCACCCTCGGCCATTGTTAATGCAAAACGACGTTCACCATCCTCTTATGAGCAGGTATAACACGAAGTATCTTCGCCTCGCTTGTTATTGGACGAATGATTACGTACAATGATCGATATTGATATTTGATCGATATCGATTGCACTTTCGTGACTCACCTAGTGCAAGTAGAGGGGGGCAATGTAAAGGCGGCTATTTAAAACGGTTGAAATGTGCAAAACGGAAAGTTAATACGCGAGTGGTCGTCGAGACGAAGTGTATCTTCGCCGTTCCTAACGCTCGAACCGCGATGTTAACACAAATACATACGGCGCGTTTCGCGCACACTGCACGAGCGTGTGTTGAAGACGCTTCAAACGGCACGGAAGACGAAGAGGACGCTTCCGGTTACAGTTCCTCGAAGAGGAAAGATCGGTCGCACATTCTTCGTAAGTCGCGACGAACACTTCTTTCTTCACGGCAGCCGGTGAACGAGTGAGAGATTTTCGCAACTTGGCAATGACAAAAATCGCCAAATTCGGCACTAACGCGCGGTCACTACGATTTTCAAAGTTATGCACACGTTTATGCATACGATTGTAAATCGAAGTAGTATGCCGGCCTCTGTTATTTTCACATCGAATTTCTATTTTCTTCCGCCATCCTTCAAGAGTCACTCCAGCCAATCGGCGTGATTCACGTTGTTCCTCCAACTTTTTCAACGGTTTTTATCTGGGCATTTTTTAAATCATCGTATTTACTGTTAATTGCAAAGAGAGCGAGCGATTATTTTTTTTACTAAATATTACTTGAAGAGAGAAAGGACAAGTCTCTAAATAGATTTGTTCTCAACTGCATTTTATACGGTGTTCATTGTTCTTTCTTTCTCTCTCGCACAAGTTTTGAATGTATAATACGTTGTAGATGTCGCTGATAGACCAAAAGTTGTACGCCCGCCAAATTTAAAGAACGGAAGATCCATGTTCCCACTTTCCGCATTCAATTGGTCTGTTCTTTTTAGCTGAACCAGTTCAAAAAATTTGCATACATACTGATGCTTATGAAGCGTATGTATGAGATTTTCACGCTTCAGTGTGCGTAAATTTCTCGAACTGATGCAGCCAGTTCAGCCAGAAAGCACCGACCAAATACTAAAAGGTGCTTATTAGTTGTAAAATACAACACGAGTAATTTTCGCTCTTCCAAGATAAAATTTCACGTCAGGGCGAAAAAGAAAGAGTGAGCTCCGACAAACCTTCGTACAAATTACTTTTTTTTATTCGTCGTAATAATTTCATCGGAATGACAATGCGATGTGTACGAAATATTTAAAAAAGTACAATAGCCCGTTATACAAAATATGATTTTTACATAAATATAAGATCGACCACTGTGTGTGTGTGTGTGTGTGTGTGCTTCCGCGATATCTGCTGTAACAGATCATCATGTAATATGCCACCGAGAAATTTGCCTGCTATTATCGAAAATAACGTGTACCCGCGCGTGAAGCAACTCGCTTTCTTTCTCTTCCTCGATAGAAAAAACTACATCCTTCGGCGAGGAGGCGACGATTCCGCGCGGTCCGGAGCGAGTTTAGTAGGAGACCTTCGTCCCGCAAGAATGAATTTTCCGAACTCACCACGTCTACCGATCATTTTTGTCGCAAGTTTCTTCGCTTTCTTATCTTATCAACCAGACTGGGTTAGGCGGACATTCGTGTCGCGATGGCTGTCGCGTGACAAAACGAGCGAATCTGGTTAGGAAGCGAGTTGGAAAAGTCTCACGGCGAGACGAGAGAGTTCGATGTTTCTCTTTTAGATCCGCTCTCGTTCTAGTCGTTGTTTAATTGTCGTTTGACCGTCTCTCTCTCAGCGAGCGGCTTGTGTATATCGAGATTAAAACGGACAGCAGCGGTATCGTCGACTATCTAATGGTTCAATTGGACGTTTTCGTCGAGAGTCTTCCGATCTCGCCAGAAGGAGGAAACACGCCCGATGGCGATAGTAAATATAAGTATAACCATAGGATTACGACTAACACAGTGCTTCGCGTTCGCGCATTCATTCTTGGCAATGTACGAATAATTATTATAAAATGTCACGGATATAGAAAATGGAAGAAGCAACGAGAGAGTCGCCATTTCCCGTTCCCTTCCTTCGTATTCCTTCGTGCATGCGACGGCTCTCATTTTAAGCGGCTATCTTTTCGGCGTCGATCGCTGAAACAAACGATAAATAGGTAACGATAGACCTGTAAATAATAGACTTAAATATATATTGAAAACACATTGGAAACTGTTTGCGGTGCTAACACTGTAAAGCGGAAAATATTCTGCGTTACTACAACGGTTGCGTTCAGTGAAAAAAGCGATCAGTGAGCAATCATTGATTGTAGGTCTTTACTGTTAGATTTTTAAAGTTAGACCAATTACGTTGATGAATTACCCAACCGTTGTGAAACTACTGTGTTCGCCGAATGCAACCAATCTTATTATCTTCTTATCCAGTTCACATAACGCGTGTATGACTATGAAGATATTTAACGATTCTAGAAAAATAATTCGTTATACAAATTTTGAACACAGTTCCAACGTATTGCTTGAAATGATCATGACTCTTTTAGTGTGTATAGCTTCTAATAAATAACGATTCTCCGTGTCGACCTCGAATGAATTCGACAGTTAATTGGAAATTAATCAAGCGTATAGGAACCTTCTTTGGTCGGCAAAGGATTTTTCTCGAGAGTTTCTGCGTGCTTCAACTTCGCCGTATCGAAGTTCTCGATGCCGGAGATCAGTTGTTGTTTCCCCTTCTCTTGCTGAATCGCTATAATACGATGTAAAAATATATTATAAAGATGTTTGTTAAGTATTTATTTTATTTGGTATTTTGTTTATAATTATAATATAAAATATATTATACATATACGCAAAAAGATATGCCTGTTCACACTTAAAAATCAAGTTTCTCTTTTACTTAAACTTTTTCCTCCTAGTTCATTTATTTAATTCTATTACAAATACAACAGATTGGTTTCTTAGTAATATATATGAGGGTCAATAGTCTGTATTGATAGATATAGATGGTCTAATTTTTTTTATGCTGTACGTACCATCTTTATCAGGTAACGGATTCTTTTCCTGAGTCTCGGTATGCTTGAGACTTGCGGTGTCGAACTTCTCGATGCCGGCGATCAGCGTCTGCTGAGTCTTTTCTGCGGCAACATCTGAAAACAATTCGATCGATATCAGAAACAGCGTAAACCTCACATGAGCAGGGTGAAAAATGGAGTACCTCGTCTCGCACATTAGATAAATATATTTTCCACATCGTTTGATACTAATCCAACTCGCGAACGGATTAGTACGGGGAATAAATTCGAAAATCATACGCACGATCAACGTGATCAATCAGCGACTGGTACCGTTCGCCGTCCTTGCTCTTCCTTTATAAGGCGCAGCGCTATTAATGCTTCGCGCATACATATAAAACCCGCAGGTTTTCATGAGGCTAAATCACGCGGAGTATATTTGAGCTCAAGTTAAAATGATATTACGCGAAGAAACTAAATTTCGAATAAGTTATAAAAACGTTCGAAATGGACTAATATATATTTGTGCACATTGCATAAATAAATCTTGCTTGTGTTTTTGAATTTATCCTCCCGAATATATTAGAGTGATTAAATCTTTTTATTGTATATGTGCTATGATATACAAGGTATCCCAGATTAATCGATTGACGACGGATTCCTGGGCTATAATTGCATGATATATTATCTTTAATTCCTTTCATTTCGACACATTTTATGCCAGGCAAATTTGATCCTCAGTAGAGTCTATTCTAGGGAGGGAATTTGTATAAGATAAAAAAAAGATTAGGAGATAAGAAGCTCTATGCGAATTACTTTTCTAATTTTTGTTCATGATATTCTTGCCTTTTAATATTTTAATTTCATAAGATTATGTAATATAAAGTTGACGAAAGACGAGTGAAGCGATCCCACGAAGCCATCACCATAGTCACCAATACATCTTTCTCATTAACGAATTATCGGTTACAATTAATAAGGAGCAAAAAAAGCTTTGCATGCAAACGATATAAGATTCCTCGCTAAGCGACAGTTGACCATAGATTTCCAAAGGTTGCCACCGTTGATAAGCTGACGAAATACTTTTCGCAGTGCTGGAAAACGAAACAATGCTCCAGAAGTCCTTTGCTGAGGTCTTAAGAAGCAATACCTTTGGCGTTAGGCAATATAATCTTCTCTTTTGTATCGGCGTGCTTCAATTGATCTGTCTTAAAGGTTTCCAAGCCATGTATCAACTCCGAATGCTGTCGCTCCTGTCGCACGTCTATATCAGCAATTCACACACGTTTTTATTATGCGAACTGATAGACAATGCTGCCAGTTATTTTGCGTTGCAAAAATTATCCCGAAAACTCAGACACACACAGTGTAGTCACACTAAATTACAACTTATTAGAAACTTCAATATAAATGAACATAATTTCGACAAAAATACATTAGTCGTGAAATTAATAAGAGGCGCACACAAACATGAAAATATATAATAAGAAAGTATGTATAAATCTTGCATTACAAGCAAATGAATAAAATTGAAGTAACTCGGTTCGGCAAAAATCAATTTCATGCACAGTCAATGAAATATATATATATATATATGTTTCGAAAATTTGCGTACCTTCAGCAGAGGGTAAAACGTTCTTCTCGGCAGTGGCGGCTTTCTTCATGCAGCCATGATTGAAACCTTCCAATTCGCTTTTCAAGTCTAGAGCTACTTTGGGCAGATCCTTTAGCGACGGACTCGACATGGCGCAGCGTTGTCACTCCTTGATCTGTAATCACACATGGACATATAATTACGAAACCGACCGTCATTCTCGTGAAAGCAACACCCGTCGCATCAAATTACACACGAAGATATTTTCTTAATTCACACACCCGCTTTATATTGATTCATTCAACTTGAAGATAAATCTGACTTGATGGCGTAACAGGGTTTTCGACGTTCATAATAATTAATTTTTTCGGCAGGGTATTTTCGCAAGGTCATCGTATTGTCAAGGGAAGGTTAACTACATGAATCAAATGCATCCAAGTGTTACAACCATTTAATGAGCAAACTCAAGATTTGTATCCCGGACGCGAGCATCTCTCAAAGCCGTTCGCAGTGAGCTGAAGTTAATTACTAGTAATTAGTATGTCGTGCAAACTTCGAAATACGAACATTTTTCTTTCTCTTCATTAGCGCCTTCTATAAGAATTTCCCAAAACATTTCGCGAAACATACGTTAATCGCAGATTCCTCAATATTCTTTTCTTTCAGATGAAAATTCTACATTTTAATATCAAGACTTCACCGTGAGATATATATTTGAGAGATACGTAAAGGTGGTTTGGGACATCCTGTATAATAAAACGATGCCAAACGATGCGTTCAAGTTGAAGGCGCCTAAACCGGAACCGGAAGAGCTATGTTAACACGCTATGTTACTTATCTTTCCGGAACGACATATTTCTACTTTTTAGGTTCTTCGTCAATGTCGAATCTTTCGATAAGTGATTTGGTTAACAAATGCGATATCACGTATTTCAATAGAGAAGATAAAAACTTGAGATGCATTTTTTTCCCCCAAGGTATAGAAACGCGAGATTATATTTTCATTATTTTCATTATTTCATCTTTTGAATGAAAGTTCATTCATTTTTCCGCCTCGACGATATAGTGTAGAACGAATTTACAGATAGAGGTAGCCGTGATGTACGAGCGTGCATTCGAGAGGCATCGATTCCAACTTCCTGGAAGATAGCAGCCAGCGGAACGCTGGCGATATCGCGCGTGTTATTAGGTATGAGAGCCACTTCTCCGTAAGGTGCATAAAGAGCTGGTGCGCGAACGAGTATCGGCGGCAATAAAACGAGCATATCGGCGGCTATGTGTTTTCAATTGTCAGCGAACGTGCCGGTTCTTTTGTTACCGCACCAACAATCCGCGCGCGCTGACAACAGCGCGGTTGCTGTTGAAAGCGACGAAGCTGACGAGAACGAAGTTATCGACAGCCACGTCGGAACTGCGCGCGTCACGATGCACCGCGAATGCACAGCAGGATTTTATTCGGCCGCGATGGACACCGTCGGAGATTTCGCGAATCCCGAGATTTCGACGGGAGTTTTGGTTAATCCTGAAGATCCGTTATAATTAAAACAGAGAGAGAAAGAGAGAAATACATTCGCCGGAGTGTGGCGAGTCTTAAGATGCTCATCCAATTTTTTTTAATTTTGTTCAACGTTCAAGCTGCAAATTAAAAGAAAAAAAAAAAAACGCACGAGATTCCGCGATGGGACTGACTTATCTACGAGAGCTTCCGTAATGCTCGGCCGACGAATTCATGTGTCACGGAGCGGAAACAGCGGTGGCTCGCTGTTTCCGGTCTCCGTTTCCTTCTAATATATATTTCGTTTCTTGTCACACATTCTTCTTTCCGAGCGCGGCGACGGCATGAAATTTCACCGGGTATTGAAGACGCAGTAGCCGAAGTAAAAGCTCACCTCTCGACTCTGCGATTTCTAAGCGCGCGACACAAAATACACAGAGATGACTCAATGACTCGCGGTACGATTGGTACCGCAACGCGAGAATGATTATTACACAGCTACAATTGAGATACAATTCGGTAGGTGGTGAAATCCGAAATTTTCGACCCGACGAGATTAGTACGCACGCGCGTTCTTTTTTTGCACCAGTGAGCATCGCACGGGATATATTTTCGAGCTTTCGCTCCGCACTGTATGTGGCAAAAGTTACACCACGGTTGACTTCATCGGGGCTAATCATTTGTTATTTACGATAATGATAGGCTGCCGCGAGCAAGAGGGACTCTGATAAATGCTTTGCGACGATACCACCGCCTCTTTTCCGTAGGACAGACGATTGCGATCTCGTAATATTACATCGTAAAACATCAAATCACACCCACGCCTATGCCTACACGCTCGGGTTATCTCACGGCAAATTATACCGCGATATACATCTTAACAAGTGAAAATTTTGAATTAATGAATTGAGGTAATAATTGAAATGATTCATTAATTAACAAATAAACGACGACTCTTAAAGAAGTACTTTAAATTAAGAATAAAGAAAAGAATGAAGTCTCATGAATTAAGATAATAATTGGAATAATTCATTAATTAACAAATAAACGACGACTCTTAGAAGTACTTAGAAGTACTTAGAAGTACTTAAAACAAAAAAAATCTCTGACTCTCACGGAATGTATCGCATCTCTTTTTCTCTCTTTCGCTCGCTCGCATCTTGTTAGATCGTAAATCTCGCTGTCCCAGAATAATATTTGCCTCGGCGAATCCGGCGACACCGAGCCAAATGTTACTCGGCAAATAATCGATATTTGCGGCACGAAATCGACGACGCGCCGTCGTCTCGACGTGCACGCACACCCATATGTATATCTTACATATGTAAATGTAGACACACGCGCGTCTTTTATACGTATCGAATCCGGTACTCGCGACGCGTTTACGCGCTAAACTGTCAATGACTCATTCGTTCAGCGTCCCCATCCTCCTCCCGTCGCGCGCTCTCTTCGTCAGCAGCGTTCGCGCGCGCGGTTGTGCGCATTTAGGCAGATTTAAAAGTTCATCTCTGAGTCAACGCGAAAAAATGCGAAGAATAACGCAGATCTAATTATCGTGCGTGGGAGACCGGCATATCGATCGGCGTTCACTTCCCACGTGCGCATTTTTCTTCCTCGTCTCGTCGTCGTTCTGCATTTTATGATGAAACCGACCTGTTTTTTTTTTCCTTTTTTTCCTTCTTTCACCCGTCGGATGCGCAGTAATTGCGCTCCTCGGCCGCCCACCGACATATTGGAATTAATGTATTTGCGCAAATCGTGACACGTTAATTGCATCGGTGGAGATTGCAATGTTATTTTGCGAGAGATTGCAAGTTATTTCAATGAATAATACGCCGTCCGAACAACCGTTATTCGGTTCTACGATACACCGATGACTCTACCTTATCGCGCGGTGTATTATCTGCGAGGATTTATTAGAAAACGAGTAATGACATTTCATCAAATTCACCCGGGCACCAATGTACGTATGAATAAACTCGCGCGTAAGCACGAATAACAGAGTCGCGGAGTAAGAAAAGGTCTGCATTCCACGTGGGTGAAGTCACAGCAACGTCGGATTTTGCTAAGCGCATTATCAGTACGCGTCGTGATTGTGACAACACGATGCAAGGCTATCGATTTCGTACAAGTTCTTCTGTCTTTTTTTTTCTTCTCAGTCTCTTCTACGTCGTTCAATTCTCCCGGCCAAATGATGGCATGGAACGTAGAAGACGAAGATCAAGAACAGACTGATATTTTGCAACACAGTAGCACCGTTGACGATTCATCGAGATCAAGCGTCGTTATTCCGTGTATGTTTTCCAGACAACGGTGGAGAATTTTCTATGACTAATATGTAAACTGAAATTTTAACGTTTAGAAACAGGAAAAGTAGTTTATGTTGTTAGAATCAACACAAACTTAAAAATTTAATAATATGTAAGAATAACATCGACTACGAAAATTTAGTTAGAAATCTAATTACGAAATCGAGATTAATATATTTTTATACAAAATATTGCTTCTACAGTACAAATAGAAGGCGACATTGTATTTTTCGAGTCAAGTTCGAGTGGATTCTGGTTTGACTATGTGTTAGTCCGGCGCAATTATATTTTTCCCCGACTCTTTCAGAGAGGTTCTCCTTGACTAATTTAATTTTTCCACAACTTTTCCCGATCCGTGGCTGAATTTGTAGCATAATTTCCTTAAGGGAAAAAATTTCACGAGCCTATAGCCGCACGGCTAATTCGAGCGAAACGGACTCGCCTCTTCTCGACGTCGAGTTTCAGGCCCAAGGCGTACGGCCCTGGATCCCGCGGAGAGAGGCTTTCGAGAGATACGTTCAAACGGTGGGTCAGCATCGACAAGGCTGTGTATAGGTCCTTATAAGGCAGCCGGTCGTATGCCTGTATATAGGGAGAACTCGAAAGAGGCCGAATACGCAATGGCGAAGCGACGGGGGCTCATGCGCGTCCTTAACGTATCCGCTTCGCTGTAGCTCCTTTTTTTTTCTTCTCGTGCGTCTGTGTGTAGGCGTTCGCAGCGTGTACATAAGGCTCATGTACTCTCGGCTGCACGTAACGGTAAGAGACGAGGAGGACGAGATCCCGATTGCCCGACGCGACGGGAAGCGCGGCCGAGTAAAACTCGGGCTCGTTACGCGGCGATTTATCGTGACGCGCGTTCGCGGATCTGTCACCGTTGCCATCTGCAAAGTCGCGAAACGGTTACCGACGATAGAAGAAGAAGAAGAAGGACTCCCGCCGCAACGTTCGCTAATTCCCTCCTGTCGTTCATCAATTTTCCGCTTTTTGTAATTCTCTTGACGAAAAATCCGCTCCTGTTAAGGTCGACCGGCAATAGAGAGAGAGAGAGAGAGAGAGAGAGAGAGATTGCTCTTATCAGTAGGAATCAATTGGCAGATTCAATAAACGTGACTCGATAAAACATTCCTCCCCCTCATTCATCTCATTCACTGAATCGCGCACGACTCGCGATTCATAATCGCCGCCGTCTCGCGCTCGGCGTGCTTTCCGATCGGCAAGAAAATTACCGGGCAGTTTAGCCCGGTAAGAAGCGCCGTAACAATGACCGTTAGTTCCGTTTAATTGAACGTCCGTGGATCTGGCCGAGGAAGCACGGTCGAGCGGCCGGCGAGCTCTTTATCGGTTATTATGCAAACTGCAAACGGTAGA